TTCGACGGGAAGATGTTGTTGATGATGAAGTTGTTGTTGATGATGGAGATGTGGCAGACGCTTGAGACGCCACAGGCGGTATACGGACACCGTCACCGTCCAACTATAGTATATCCCACATATCAGTACAAAAAATCATGGCAATCAACAGAAATTACAGAAATCAACAGAACGGAGATCAGACGAACACACACGAACCTGTGAAGCATTCGCATTTTCATTGGCGCTATTACTATTAGCGCTAGTGGTCGTAGACGCCACCGTCAGCTGAGATAACCGTGGTCGTTTCGGATTCGCAGACGCTGGGTGGGCGGTGCCCGTGCCCGTGCTCGTGCTCGTCGTACGGGTTCTAGTTCTGGTGTTGGCGTTGGTATTATTGGTATGGGTATTGGCGTTGGTGTTATTGGTTTTGGCGTTGGGAGCTGCGGCTGCGGCTGCGGCTGCGACTGGGGCTAGTGCAGGTGCAGGTGCAGGTGCAGGTGCTGGCGTCTGCCGATTTTCAGCCGGTTTCTCAGCCGGTTTCTCAGACGGTTTCTGGGCTGGATGGGATGCGCTGGCAATGGAAGGTGTTTTGGGTGTTTGGGGAGTTTTGAATCCGGGAAGCGAGGCACGCTTGATTGGTACAGGTGGACGAGTGACAGCTCCAGCGCTTGTAGAAGTAGAAGAAGATTGAGAAGATTGAGGAGTGGGAATAGATATAGATTTGGATTTGGATTTGGTGGTGGCAGGGGGAAGGGAAGGATTAGGTTCTGGGGTAGCCACGGGTTGGGGTGGGTGTTGTTGTTGTTGTTCGGTAGCGCTGGACGGTTCAGTCCGTCCAGAGGGCTGTGTCGCACCGGGTTGATGAGCAGTCGCACTAGCACCAGGCTCTTCCTCGGGCTCTATCACATCGTCGTCCCAGATATCCACGACATCCGGACCACCGGGACCACTGGATCCCGATTTTCGACGGTCGACATGAACCGTCGAAGTAGACGACGTCGACGGGCTGCGAGTAGGGTTTTCCAGTTCTGCGAACGCCATCGGTGCCGGTGAGGACCCAGGGGCGTCATGATCGTCGAAATCCATATCCATAGATCCATCCATCATCGACCCAAACTCGAAAAACATCCCCAACGGGTCTTCCTGCAACGGAGGCTCGTTCCGGAGCGCGTCCCACTCTGCGTCGGTAGGGTAGTCAAACACGACATGCTCGTCTTTCATCGCGAGGTACGCGCGGGTTTCGGAGATGCGCCGGGCGTTTTCTGCTTCGGCTTCTTGTGCTTCTTGTTCGGCTTTGAGTCGCTGGAGACGTTCGTGTTCTTCCCTTTCCTCCTTGACTCTCCTCAGCCGAGCTTCTTCTGCCTCCCAGACTTTCTTGCGTTCGTCTGCTGCGCGCTTCCAGCGCGGCTGGAGCCAGGGATCGTCCCAGGTCCAGTGGGTGTGGGAGAGGAGGAACGAGTCGGCTTTGGAGAGGGCGTCGGTGAGTTGGGGAGGGGGGTCGTACGAGGACGGGTTCCGGTCTTTGGTTAGGTCGCGGGTTATTTTTCTGTAGCGACTCTGGTGTATAAAAGGAAAGAGATAGAGGTTAGGAATAGTTCAACACATAGGAAAAGCCTAGTGAGATTGAGATTGAGATTGAGGTTGAGGTACTTACGAGAGCGACGACAAACTCCTTCGTCCAAGCTCTTAACGCAGCCTCATCAGCCGACGCCAAGGAGTCGACCTTGGCTACGACGTCGATAACGACGGAGGCTTGGGAAGTGATCATGGAGATCATTTCTTGAGATAGATTTGAAAGAGGACTAGGAGGGGCCATTGGACGGATTAGTATGGGTTACTGGAGCGGGGGGGATGGGATGATGAGAGTTGGTAAGGAAAGAGCTGTAGAGTTGGTAGACGCCCTTGGGATGTACCGCCGTTATCGGTATCGGTGATATCCATGATGTGCATGATATTCATAGCCTATAGGGTTCTGTTATGTTGTTGTTCTGGCTATGTAGGGTAATTGTGGGCGATGTGCGCGTCTAAGTTGTTATTGATCATCACGCTGTGGTGGATGGGATCGTGACAGGAGGATTGCCGAATTTCGGCATTCGATACGGCGTCCTGACTCAGGACCCCCGCTAATACGGTTATAGGTCCAGTGCCGAGGGTAACCTGATTTAGCCCTTTTTTTTGGACAAGTTGATGGCCAAAATTAGCCCTTTTCACAGGACCTCAAATTTTGAGCCCAAATTTTGCCCTTTTTGTATCATTCATTCAAAAATTTCGGAACCAAGCCGGAACGGCTTGGAGTTCAACAACGGCTCAAAAAAAGCTCTTTCGGAGCTCATCTACATGGTTTTTAGCAGTAGAGAAGTAAGAAAAATATTACCCAAGGCACTCACCAAATTCTTCTGCTCAGCGCTGTCAAACCTCGAAATTTTGCTGTCTGGCAACAGACATACAAAAATTTTTGCCATTTTTTGACCTCCGGTGTACCACAGATGTGAGTGAAATTTGGTCCAAATTTAGCCCTTTGCATCAGACCTGGTCAAAAATTTTGCCCAAATTTAGCCCTTTGGGACCTGAACCTCTGACCGTATTAGCGGGGGTCCTCCTGACTCCTTCCTGGTCGTGTACCATCCACAATCAATATTGAAGCTGGACGTATAATCTCGGCTCACCACGTCTGAGAAGACAAAAGCGCCATGTGGGATTGTGGGTCCCTGATCTAAACAAATACCCAATCACCCAGAGCCCAGAGTTCATCCAGAATTCCGAACCTTGTGACCACAATCCTCCATTCTCACCAACGATGGATTCTCACCACCTGCCCACTCCCACTCCCACCCATTCTCCAATCCACACCCTCCCTAACGAACTCCTCTCCCACATCTTCCTCCACATCGTCTCTCGACCCCCAGGCCAATTCTCCTTGAGCGAACTCGACCTCAGCCACGTCTGTTCCCAATGGCGAGCCGTAGCCTTGAATCTTTCTCCCCTCTGGTCCTCTATCCAGATCCTAGCTCACGAGGACCCAAACTCCGAAGGCGTGAGGAGGCTAACGGAGCTCTACCTGGACCGGTCAGGAAATGCGCCGTTGGATGTGTTCTTGCATATCGATGTCGAGGCGGGACGACCAGAGTTGGGATTGGGATTGGGATTGGACTTGATGGATATGTTGAGCGCTCACGCGCATCGTTGGCGGCATGCGCATCTTCACATCCCCCGAGGCTCGTTCTTTGAACTGTACGCTTCTGACTTGGAGCTCTCCTCGCTAGAGTCGTTCAGTCTTACCCTGGACGGGTCCAACCCCAACCCATTCGATGGTATATCCTCAGCCTCAGGCCCAGGTACATGTATGTCCTTCACCGCTCCTCGCTTGCATACCCTCCACCTCAACATACCCTTCTTCGAACTCTCCCAATTCCCCTTCCCCTTCCACCAACTCCGTCACCTCAGCACCTCCCACCTCGACCTCTCCCTCACACACCAACTCCTCTCCCTCTCCCCCTCCCTCCTCACCGCCTCCTTCGCCTCATGCCCAACCGACTTTTCCTTCCGGGATCCCATCCCCTACACCTCTCCCTTGCTCTCTTCACTAACCATCCTCGCCCTGCACCGTCTCGAGACCCTCGGTCCGGACATCACCCGCTGTGTCTTTCCCTCCCTAACCACTCTCACCCTCATCAGCGGTGCCGAGACCTCGGAATTCTCGTTCTCGCACGGGATCGTACCAGACCTCACCTCGCTGGTGATACGCTCGGTCATCTTACCTCACTTACCCTACACGGCATATCCTACAGCTCCAAACACCTCCTTGAGCTCCTCCACGCCTCCTCTCCGTCCCTGCTCAAACTCGATCTATGCGATGTAGACCATCGCGCGTGGAATTTTATGCAGCTCGAGAGGTGGGTGTTCGAGGCGCTTACTATTAGATGGTTGCATGCCCCTCAGGGAGATGCGGGGTTACACCGGACAGTGTCGTCGTCGTCGTCGCTGCTACCTCATCTAAGAGAATTCGGGATCAGGTTCCCTGGCTCGAGGAGAGACGTACCGCCGGATCGGGCGAAGCTCAAATCATTACTGGACATGATCGAATCGCGATGTCAGGGTTATCCTGAGTCTAATCCTGATCCAGCGTCAGTAGTAGGAATTCGGACTCGGAAAGGTCTCGATAGAACATCGGGCAAACCCGTTCTCCAAAACCAAAACCAAAACCAAAACCAAAACCAAAACAAGAACGACGAGAACTTCGAGACAAGATTAGAAAAACTCCACCTTGGGAGACTCTGGGCGACGCGGGTTCCGGTCGAAGTCGAGAAGCGGCTTCGGGCGCTTGAGGATGGAGGGTTGAAGATCACTGCGGTTTGATTATGTATCGATGGATGAGCGCGTTCAAAGCGTTAGCGGTAGCTATAGATGAGGAGTAGATGAGTAGAAGGTGTAGAAAGCGCTCGGAAGGTGTGTGAAGAAAGGTTAGAAAATCCGTAGTAGATCTTTTCTTCGATTCCTTCGATTCCTTGCACCCCCCTCTCTCTCTCCCGAATATCTCGCGCTGATGGCTTGTGCTGTTCAAGATAACAACCCATTATTTAATATTGATATTAGAAGTTCGAGCATCCCCCACATGTTGCTGTGAGGCAGGTGGGTGTCGGTCGGTTGCCGGGTTTCCCGTAAACCTTTCTACGTAGGAATCGATATCGATATCGCGGCATCGCCATATCCATTCATCCTTCGGACTTCCAGGAGGATCATCGTTCTGAATCGTTCTGAATCGTTCCCGGATCGACCATCGAATCATCAATACACCCTTTCGGGGACGAGACTCAAATTGTCGGTATTTTACTGGTCAGTGGTCACTGGTAGTGTTGTGACGGGTCATGTTGTTCAGTAATACTCATCTCAAGACTCTCAGCCTGTTCCGACAGGCTACAGCTTTGCAAATTGCCAACTGTCCAGTACTAGTAGAATCGTGGCTGGATTGATTCAAATCTTGTCTCATGTTATCCCTTGACAAGCATCAAAAACTGTTATGCCCCATGGCTGAGTTGGTTACAGCGTCCGACTGTTACGTACCTAATAATCGGAAGGTCGAGAGTTCGAGCCTCTCTGGGGCAGTCGCAAAAATCCAGTATTTGCATTTTTTCAATTTTTATACAGCTCATTCGCTCTTCATTCTGTTGTTGATTGTCCCTAGTAGGATCATGGATGCCTTGTTCTTCCCTCCGGTCTACGTGGAAGCTTGACAACTCTTGGAGTCTTGCTGTGGGAAATGAAGGGTGTATTTGACATGCATTTATGAGCTCCCGCCTTCTACTTAATCATGCTAACAGGCTATGCCCCTCCTGTGCCACACATCATTAAGGCTGCTCAATTCTTATATTGTGTCACATATTGTATTGTATTGCATAATTTGTTTTGAGAAACTAGTCCTTTTTTGGAAGTATCTACGGAATTTCTTGTCAATCCACTTCTTTGTTTATGTTGCCCATTGAAAGTCTTTGAGAGGTGCTGAGCATGCATATTCATGCACAGTATGTGAGGCAAAGGATACAGTTGCTGTCTGGTGCTCTCAATCTCAATGAATGTAACACAATCCGATTCCATCGTTCTAGAATCGGACCGACGGAGTCATGTGATCGGATCAACCTAGTCATCTGATCGTGGTGATGATGTCATTGGCTTTTGAGGGCTCAAGCCTAAGAGGGGGATACTGTTACGACCATAATCTTCCGAGCTCCGTCGGAGCTTCACTCGGCGATTGGACTTAGAGATTTCCTGAATCTCTCTAGTCATGCCTAGCAGTGTCCGCCTTGTCCCTCCTTCTGATTCCGTTGGCGCATCGGTCTGGTCTTATACTTTGATTATGATCTTATTGTTTTATTCTCTGACAGCTCAGCTGACCTTTATATTGATTTACTTTACAATAGCTTATTGTCTTTCTCACCTCCGATGCTGTAGTACCGATGTTGCGCGGTTTTTCCGCGCAGGCGTGCAATGATCAAAAAGATCAACTTAGACCGTTGCATAGTATCAATAAGGACTGTAGTGAGCCCAAACTAGCAGTCAAACTTGTATCAGTATAAGCTAGGATACAGATCCTTTGGCAGGATCAGCCATGAATATCCACTTAGAGCTATTGCTCGCACCCTTGGTCGGGGATCCTTCAAGAATGCTGACTACTGGTACGAGCACACCAAGGGAATATCGACTTAGTATCAAGATCTGCCGGATCGGCACAACTGAGTTTGGTACTTGGCTGTGATGACGGAAATTTCACTTGATCTAGCAGATCAGACACGATGAGAACCTATCCGGACGAGTTACCACACGGAAAGCCTACGCAAAGTTGCGGAAACCGTCGGAAACATGATGATCTAGCATTTCCATGGCAGTACGGGTGAAACCCGCAGCGGAAACACGCATATGTTCAAGTTCTAAACTGGGATATAGCGTATGCTATGTACAGCTTTGACCAGCACTCACGGAAACGCGCGGAAACCTACGGAAAACACTTCTGAAGCATTTATCTTCGTTGTCCGCTCCAGAACACCAGGCTATATGCATACCGTTCGAAAGCTACGGACCAGACCTACTTGATCCGCGAGATCAACCGCTGTTACAAGTCTATCTCATTAACTTGGGAAGACCACTACCATTCCGCGGAAGCAAATTCGTCGGAAACACTTGAGCAACTCAGGCAGGAGCCACTCTGACGAGTTAGGCACCCTAGCATGTGGATGCCGCACAGACCATGGTCGGAACTTGCTTGGTCTTCTAGATCTGGCAAAAGTACGACGAAATACGGACAAGTTTCATCTTTTTCTCTGTTTTCCTTACTATTTCCTTGCGTGTTTGTATCGTTTCAGTCATATTTTACTATTTAAGTGTATATTATCGGACTCCGTCCGTAGAAATAGCTAGATCTACTAGATCAAGGACAAATACGGGTATTGGACTTTTCGTAGCGTACTTAAAGACCTGTATCCGCACAAATGAATAAGTTTCGCGCCCAGATCTCTCTGAACTGGTAATCCTTTTCATCCATACGTGGGAGTAAAGGCTTCTAAGCCGTACCGGACCTTGCAGATTAAGCAGCTGATACTGTAAAACTTTTGTAAAAAGTACCGATAAGTTATTGGGTACCTATTGCAAATAGTTGTGATAACCCGGAGGGGGTCCCGGAAATGGCCCCGGGGGTGGTCATGCCTGTCACCACCTGTCACATATGGCTTATATTTATTGTTTTGGGTAATTAATAATCATCCAGATATTAAATAAGCAGTACATTTTCAAAAAAACTCAAAAATTCATAAAAATTCATAAAAAACCTAAAATGGCCTGATTAGGTCAGATCAGGATATGTAAGCAAATGACCTCATATGATCAAAAATGATGTAGGGCCAATGTAGGTACTAAAAATAGCCCAAAAAATCAATAAAAATGCAAAAAATATTTAGGGATGGTATAGAGCCTATTGCAGGCCCAGGCATATCAAAATTACCAAAAAAGGAAAAAAAAATTGATCATGATCTCATCTTGTAGCAAAAAATCTGAAAAAAATCCTAAAAATAGTCAAAAAATTCAGGGGTGCCTTGTTGGCCCTGAAAACGCAAAATAAAAAAAAATACGCGACAAGTGTAAAAATTTTCATCACTCCAAATCATCCCAAATCCACTATACAGTCAGTATATATGATGTATATGCTATATTTAGCATCCTAGTACCTTTATTGGGCTAAAAATAGAACTTGATCTCATCTGATAGCAAAAAATCTGAAAAAATCATAAAAAATACTCAAAAAATTCAGGGGTGCCTCATTGGCCCCGAAAATGCAAAATAAAAAATTTACACGATACAATTAAAAAACAATATCACTCCAAATCATACCAAATCCACTACACAGTCAGTATATGTCATGTATATGCCATTTATAGCACCCCTACTAAGTATACTGAACATATTGAGTAATATAAATTGTTCTAAGTTATCAAGGGTACTAGGTGTGCTAAAAATATCATGTAAAATATATTTACTCCCCAAATTATTCAGTTTGGTATGATTCTTGAGTGATATAAGTGATTGAGGGTACTAGGGGTGCTATAAATGGCATATACATGACATATACTGACTGTGTAGTGGATTTGGTATGATTTGGAGTGATATTGTTTTTTAATTGTATCGTGTAAATTTTCAATTAAAAAACAATATTACTCCAAATCATACCAAATCCATTACACAGTCAGTATATGTCATGTATATGCCATTTATAGCACCCCTACTAAGTATACTGAACATATTGAGTAATATAAATTGTTCTAAGTTATCAAGGGTACTAGGTGTGCTAAAAATATCATGTAAAATATATTTACTCCCCAAATTATTCAGTTTGGTATGATTCTTGAGTGATATAAGTGATTGAGGGTACTAGGGGTGCTATAAATGGCATATACATGACATATACTGACTGTGTAGTGGATTTGGTATGATTTGGAGTGATATTGTTTTTTAATTGTATCGTGTAAATTTTTCAATTAAAAAACAATATTACTCCAAATCATACCAAATCCACTACACAGTCAGTATATGTCATGTATATGCCATTTATAGCACCCCTACTAAGTATACTGAACATATTGAGTAATATAAATTGTTCTAAGTTATCAAGGGTACTAGGTGTGCTAAAAATATCATGTAAAATATATTTACTCCCCAAATTATTCAGTTTGGTATGATTCTTGAGTGATATAAGTGATTGAGGGTACTAGGGGTGCTATAAATGGCATATACATGACATATACTGACTGTGTAGTGGATTTGGTATGATTTGGAGTGATATTGTTTTTTAATTGTATCGTGTAAATTTTTTTATTTTGCATTTTCAGGGCCAATGAGGCACCCCTGAATTTTTTGAGTATTTTTTATGATTTTTTCAGATTTTTTGCTATCAGATGAGATCAAGTTCTATTTTTAGCCCAATAAAGGTACTAGGATGCTAAATATAGCATATACATCATATATACTGACTGTATAGTGGATTTGGGATGATTTGGAGTGATGAAAATTTTTACACTTGTCGCGTATTTTTTTTTATTTTGCGTTTTCAGGGCCAACAAGGCACCCCTGAATTTTTTGACTATTTTTAGGATTTTTTTCAGATTTTTTGCTACAAGATGAGATCATGATCAATTTTTTTTCCTTTTTGGTAATTTTGATATGCCTGGGCCTGCAATAGGCTCTATACCATCCCTAAATATTTTTTGCATTTTTATTGATTTTTTGGGCTATTTTTAGTACCTACATTGGCCCTACATCATTTTTGATCATATGAGGTCATTTGCTTACATATCCTGATCTGACCTAATCAGGCCATTTCAGGTTTTTTATGAATTTTTATGAATTTTCGAGTTTTTTTGAAAATGTACTGCTTATTTAATATCTGGATGATTATTAATTACCCAAAACAGTAAATATAAGCCATATGTGACAGGTGGTGACAGGCATGACCACCCCCCGGGGCCATTTCCGGGACCCCCTCCGGGTTATCACAACTATTTGCAATAGGTACCCGATAACTTATCAGTCTTTTTTACAAAAGCTTTACTGTATCCTGTGGATTAAGTGTGTTACTTTATCGCGATAAGCCCGACTTTTGAGTGGTTTGACTTGGTGTCTGTCACTTGTTAGTTGAAGGTAGACTCCGTTCCGGAGATACAGAGGACTTGGTCTCAGGTTGTGCCGAGTGAACGTGCAGAGTTTTGGTGGCTTTGTTCAAGTTGACACGTAGTGATTGGTGATCTGCGTGATCTTCGAGGTTTTACTGAGAATAGTGATCAGTACTGCTTCACCCGGGAGCGGAATCGATTGGTCTACCATAACGTCTGGTACCCCGTTGCTTTCCGAGCCTAAAAACCCTTATCCGAGTGGAAGCCACTCAAAACAAACCCCTTAGTCCAGATCTTACGACTGGTATATCCGTGTCACTTCGTTCTGCTGACCAGTATTGCTGATCTAAAAGATCTTACAAGACTGCGTTCAACTTGAGATATAAGATAGTGCGGAATCTCTGACAACGCCCCACACCTCGCTATAAATACAATTTGATTGACGAATCTGTG